AGGCGCCGCGATTCGCTGTGCAGAGTTGCGTCCCTTGGGCACGCCAGAAACCTATGATTGTGGGTTTGAATCCCGGTTCGCCCCGATTATGTTTCTAGGTTTGTCAGCACAATACCCGTGCTCGTGGGTTTCACCGAAGTGGTAAACGTCTGAGACTTGCATCACTTCGGGCTTTCCTCCCACATTAAGCTGACACGCCGTGATATGACTGGACTACTGTTAAAAGCGGCGTTAAACCCAACTCACTCACTCACTCACTCTGATGGTTTGGTTTTGTCTCGTCCAGATTCACTTATTTACAGACTGACGTCATATTGCTTGACACCACACACAAACAAATACGCTTTTGTTTAAGCATTAGACTAATATTTCATTCCCCAGTGTGTATATATTACTTTAAAATTCGAATGTAATAGCTTTCTGATATTTTAGCAATTCGCAATGCTGATTGAAAAGCAGAGGCGATTGTACCATTGCGTCACCCATCGCATCTGACGCCACATTATGTAATCAGGCCAATAGTTCTGCTGCCATCGCCGCACTCAGCAATTTTCCAGCTATATATAGTAAATAGTATATATAGTATATAGTAAATAATTCTATATAGTAAATAGTCGAGTTCTGGACCAGACAATCCAGTGAATGACATCATGAGCATCGATCTACGAAATTGGGATACGACGACATACATCAGCCAAGAAGTCAGCGAGTCAGACCATAAAGTTTTAAGAGATAAAAATTTCAACTAGTTTTTATCATATATTTTATATTTGAAAATACGAAACATCTTGCTTATGGCTGGTGAAAAACGCTCGTTGCTACTGTTGGAAAATTTGTAGTTATTTGAAATTATATCAAACATCTTAGAAATCAGGTCGAATGAAGACACCTGTCTTGTATCCAATATGGCATTGATAGAGCCATGTTGATAAATGAACTGGATGACTGGCTTCTTGTTCAATTATATCCGCCGCTGTATAACCACATGGCATGATTAACAAGACAATGGTGTGTGACCGAAATCTGTCGTGCAGTTGGAAGTAAACTTGGCTCACACCAAAACGTTATGAATAAATTATTACTCTATCAGTTAACTGTTATTACAACTTCGCGAACAATCAACATTTACTTTCACATAACCTGTCTGACAGACAGGAATTATTGAGTATGAGGCGAACCTATATTCCCTCTCAGCTTTCGATTCGATTTCCCCCCGCTTTGCCATGTCACGGTGTTTAACTTACGATTACACTGCCTATGATTAATTGACACAGAGAAGCTAAAATTATCAAAAGGAGATAATAGCATTAGCGCAAGTACACAAACGTGAAAAGTCGAACAATGAGTTACTGGACAGACCGATTGCTTTAAGGCGCAATGACAAAGATAAACCAAACTGAAGTTATAGGATTTATTATCACTACACGATAAACAAAGATAAAGCATATTGTTTTTTCCCAAATTTCCAACAATATTTAACATTTCAGGAACCACCAACAATTTCATTGCCCTATAGGAACACACTTCCATTGCCCTATAGGAACACAATTTCATTGCCCTATAGGAACACAATTTCATTGCCCTATAGGAACACACTTTCATTGCCCTATAGGAACACAATTTCATTGCCCTTTAGGAACACAATTTCATCCAGGTTGTTCAGTTATAGGAACTTGTTGCAGGACGCGGACTTTTGAAGCTCTTGATGTAAATTACACGACTTGTGGCTGCCAAGCCTTACTATATTGCCACAAGCCTGCTGGTCATATAACCACAGGTGTCGTCTCTATTGTTGAGGGGGCGGTCGGGTAGCCTAGTGGTTAAAGCGTTCGCTCGTCACGCCGAAGACCCGGGTTCAATTCCCGACATGGGTACAATGTGTGAAGCCCATTTCGGGTGTCCCCCGCCGTGATATTGCTGGAATATTGCTAGAAGCGGCGTAAAACCATACTCACTCACTCTATTGTTAACAATAACAACATCCGTCAGTTATTCAAATATATACCAACATATCGTGACCAGCCTCCTACCAATTGAGATCACAACTGCCCATTCCTCTTTTGTACTGGATAAACCGGGTCTATAAAATTCCTTAAAAAAAGATATATTGCTGGGTCCAGCAAATGTGGATTTTCAAAAATTCAAAGTGTTTGCTTGAAATTTGTCAAGCTCAGAAAAAAACCAAGTTCAAGTCTGTCAAAACATTTGATTTTTCAATTTTGTACACCACTGTCCCACGTGACAAGCCTAGGGAAAAACATAATTCCTTAAGTCGTGGGGTTTCAATATGATTAAAATCAGATCTTAGTTCTTGCTACATAAAAATTTGAGGACTCCTCTTTTACAGGTCACGCCAGAACGACCTTTCGCAAACTTTGACCGACCAATGAAACGATTAACAAGAAGTCAGCAATAGCCAATCAGAAAGAAGCTTTCTCGAGCTTTACGGAAAAAGCTTCAAACTGGCGACTTCCATTCCAGAATACAGGCTTTGGAAAATAAAGATTCAATGGGTTTGGGAGTTGCTTTCTCCACTGAGCTGCTCATCCCCAGACAGGCTTGCATCACTGCCTCCCATATCAAGTTGTACTCCATTAATGTCAGGACTTTCAACACGACCTTCAGCACATAAATTCTCACCATTTTCAGCAGTGATACAAGAAAGTCTACATTCATTATCACCAAGCACAAAACACTTCCTTTTCTTCAGAACTGAAGAGCCTACGCTTCCACCATTAAAACCCCACACATTTAATATTGCACATAAAGAACATATTTACCAGCTTGTACGTCTCTTTTGTAGTAAACAGTGCCCGAAGCTGCTGCAGCTGATGCTGTAGATGTGAAGACGAGGTGGTGACCGAGGCAGCTCCCAGTAACTCTGTTGTAGAAGAAAGACCCGCACGACACATCCGCCAAACACACCATAGCGCACAATGTTTCACCTGGGACGTTCCATCTTACCCATAAAGCAGAATCTATGACAATATAATTTGTCAGGTATGGTATTGCTCTAAAATGGCCCTGTCGACCACCGCTTCCACGTGTAACCGACAATAGAAACAACAGAAAGCCATGCACAAGTCTGAGCCAAAGAACTCTTGAAGGTGACAACTTCATGTCTTGTATATACTTTAGTTGTGGCAGATTCAAGCAAGTGTAAACTCTTCACTGATCAGTGTCCCAACAAGGGTGGAGCACACCAGGAATAGTGTTGGTGGGTAATCAGTGACTAATACAGGTCCCAGGTACTTATGATTGTCGATAGAAGAGACTAAATGTGACTCTGTGACATGTTTAAAGTTTGTCGGGGATATAGAAACGGGCTCCGTTCTTCCGTCACGTTCACTCAGTACTCCTACGCCGACCTACTCCAGTCAAAGTTGGTATGAGATTATTAAACAGTCATACATAACTGGATATTACATTTAAAAAAATCGGTGAATGAATAAAAAATCTGTCTATTTAGCTATCACTATATTTCATCAACAACCAGACCTGTTCGTCACGGGTGGAACGAGCACGAATACGGTGTTAGCGTTGGGCGTCTCAACGTGCGTGATTCCCGTGCACCCTTTCGAGTTGAGTTGATTGGTTCAACTGTGTCATATGGCCCTGTGACGCAGGGGTAGCATTATGCAGATGGCTGTTTCAATGAATGCTCGTTCCACCCGAGACGAACAGGTCTGGTTGTTGATTTTCTATTCATGCACCGATTGTCTTTAAATGTAATATCCAGTTATGTATGACTGTTTAATAATCTCATAGCAACTTTGACTGGAGTAGGTCGGCGTGCGAGTACTGAGTGAACGTGACGGAAGAACGGAGCCCGTTTCTATATCCCCGACAAACTTCGTTTGGGCGGGGGATAGTTAAACAAGTCCCAGTCACATTTAGTCTCCTCCTTAAATGTAATATCCAGTTATGCATGACTGTTTGATAATCTCATACCAACTTTGACTGGAGTAGGTCCAATAGTTTTTCAGATATTGTATTAAACGTCTTAACCTTAAATTACCTTCCAGACTATAGCTGTGAGTCTATTTGTCTCTGCAAAGATCACAAGGCCGTGATGGTTGGTTGGTTGGTTTGTTGTTTAACACCGCACTCAGCAATATTCCAGCTGTATGACGGCGGTCTGTAAATAATCGAGTCTGGACCAGAAAATCTAGTGATAGATATCATAAACATCGATCCACGCAATTGGGATCAATGACATGCATGAACCAAGTCAGCGAGCCTGACCACCCGATCCCGTTAGTCGCCTCTTACGACAAGCAAACTCGCCTTTTACGGCAAGCATGGGTTACTGAAGACCTATTCTACCACGGATCTTCACGGGTCACAAGGTCGTGGTGAGTCAACTTAGTTGGTTTGATTTGTACTTTACTTTTTATTGACCGGTTTTTATCATTTCTCGCTTGAGCAATGAGCACCGCGGGTTTTATGCAAACAATAAACAATGGCCAATACTGTTGATTCCCTTTTTTATACAGATACCACATCAGGTGAGCAAGAGTTATTATGGTTTAGTACCAGACAATCAAACTTCTTATGCAAACAATGTTGGTGCTTCTCGGCAAATTTGAAGGTCGAGTGTGTTTACAGTCGACTTGATGTACAACTTTAATAGTAGTGTCTTCACATGTGGAACTTACCTCGATATTGAACAATCGTTACATCTACAATGCCTTTAACATCTCCACCACCATCTTCACCACTAAACAATTCCTAATATTGCAGCGCAAAACACTTGTCCCATTCTATGTTTCAATGTTACTAAATTCATAATATGTGTTGTCAGCAATAAAGGTATCCTGGCTAGTATTAACAATATCATTGAATCTACATGATCCATGCATATAGTTAAGTATTTAATTGTGTGCAATAGAAAATATGGCATCAAATTGCTTCCTACTATTATGATGCCACCAGACCTTAAGCAACTTGCAGAACATCTGTTTTTAATATCAAGTTAAAATCCATGAAAAAACACTAAATCATGTGAATGTGGGTGTCGGGAACAGTGTGGGTGTCGTGAACAGTATGGGTGTCGTGAACAGTGTGGGTGTCGTGAACAGTGTGGGTGGCGAGACCAGTGGGGGTGTCGTGAACAGTGTGGGTGTCGTGAACAGTGTGGTTGTCGCGAACAGTGGGGGTGTCGTGAACAGTGGGGGTGTCGTGAACTGTGTGGGTGTCGCGAACAGTAGGGGTGTCGTGAACAGTGTGGGTGTCGTGAACTGTGTGGTTGTCGCGAACAGTGTGGGTATCGTGAACAGTGGGGGTGTCGTGAACAGTGGGGGTGTCGTGAACAGTATGGGTGTCGTGAACAGTGTGGGTGGCGAGAACAGTGTGGGTATCGTGAACAGTGGGGGTGTCGTGAACAGTGGGGGTATCGTGAACAGTATGGGTGTCGTGAACAGTGTGGGTGGCGAGAACAGTGTGGGTATCGTGAACAGTATGGGTGGCGAGAACAGTGTGGGTGGCGAGAACAGTGTGGGTATCGTGAACAGTGGGGGTGTCGTGAACAGTGGGGGTGTCGTGAACAGTGGGGGTGTCGTGAACAGTATGGGTGTCGTGAACAGTGTGGGTGGCGAGAACAGTGTGGGTATCGTGAACAGTCTGGGTGGCGAGAACAGTGTGGGTGGCGAGAACAGTGTGGGTATCGTGAACTGTGTGGTTGTCGCGAACAGTGTGGGTGGCGAGAACAGTGTGGGTGGCGAGAACAGTGTGGGTGGCGAGAACAGTGTGGGTGTCGTGAACAGTGTGGGTGTCGTGAACAGTATGGGTGGCGAGAACAGTGTGGGTGGCGAGAACAGTGTGGGTGGCGAGAACAGTGTGGGTGGCGAGAACAGTGTGGGTGGCGAGAACAGTGTGGGTGGCGAGAACAGTGTGGGTGGCAAGAACAGTGTGGTTGTCGCGAACAGTGTGGGTGTCGTGAACAGTGTGGTTGTCGCGAACAGTGGGGGTGTCGTGAACGGTGTGGGTGTCGTGAACTGTGTGGTTGTCGCGAACAGTGGGGGTATCGTGAACAGTGTGGGTATCGTGAACAGTGTGGTTGTCGTGAACAGTGGGGGTGTCGTGAACAGTGTGGGTGTCGCGAACAGTGGGGGTGTCGTGAACAGTGTGGGTGTCGTGAACTGTGTGGTTGTCGCGAACAGTGGGGGTGTCGTGAACAGTGTGGTTGTCGCGAACAGTGGGGGTGTCGTGAACAGTGTGGTTGTCGCGAACAGTGAGGGTATCGTGAACAGTGTGGGTGTCGTGAACAGTAGGGGTGTCGTGAACAGCGGGGTGGGGGGTGGCGTGAACAGTGTGGTTGTCGCGAACAGTGGGGGTGTCGTGAACAGTGTGGTTGTCGCGAACAGTGGGGGTATCGTGAACAGTGTGGGTGTCGTGAACAGTAGGGGTGGCGTGAACAGCGGGATGGGGGGTGGCGTGAACAGTGTGGGTGTCGTGAACAGTGTGGTTGTCGCGAACAGTGGGGGTGTCGTGGACAGTGTGGTTGTCGTGAACAGTGGGGGTATCGTGAACAGTGTGGGTATCGTGACCAGTGTGGTTGTCGTGAACAGTGGGGGTATCGTGAACAGTGGGGGTATCGTGAACAGTGTGGTTGTCGTGAACAGTGGGGGTATCGTGAACAGTGGGGGTATCGCGAACAGTGGGGGTATCGTGAACAGTGGGGGTATCGTGAACAGTGTGGTTGTCGTGAACAGTGTGGGTGTCGTGAACGGTGTGGTTGTCGCGAACAGTGGGGGTATCGTGAACTGTGTGGGTGTCGTGAACTGTGTGGTTGTCGCGAACAGTGGGGGTGTCGTGAACAGTGTGGGTATCGTGAACTGTGTGGTTGTCGCGAACAGTGGGGGTGTCGTGAACAGTATGGGTGTCGTGAACAGTGTGGGTGTCGTGAACAGTGTGGGTGGCGAGAATAGTAGGGGTGTCGTGAACAGTGTGGTTGTCGCGAACAGTGGGGGTGTCGTGAACAGTGTGGGTGTCGTGAACTGTGTGGTTGTCGCGAACAGTGTCGTTGTCGTGAACAGTATGGGTGTCGTGAACAGTGGGGGTGTCGTGAACAGTGTGGGTGTCGTGAACTGTGTGGTTGTCGCGAACAGTGGGGGTGTCGTGAACAGTGGGGGTGTCGCGAACAGTATGGGTGTCGTGAACAGTGTGGGTGGCGAGAATAGTAGGGGTGTCGTGAACAGTGTGGTTGTCCCGAACAGTAGGGGTGGCGTGAACAGCGGGGTGGGGGGTGGCGTGAACAGTGTGGGTGTCGTGAACAGTGGGGGTGGCGTGAACAGCAGGGGTTGAGGGAGGGTCTCAGGCTGCGCCAGTACGCCTGGTCCTGCATGCAGCTCTGCCTGCGTAAAACCTGTGTACGGTTCACTGGAGACGACAGCTGCGTGGAGGTCGGCGGTTTCGTGCAGGAAGCATGTTTCCCGCGACTTAGAAGTCGACTTCATGGCTGCCTTGTTGACCTTCTAGGTGTAACTTTGTCGGCTTCGGGAAGGCGGGGACCTTCACGCAAGTATCCTTCGACGTTGCAGAGGACTTCGATGACGATGGAGAGCTGGGGGAAATAACCAGTTTTGAAATGTGAGAGTTTGAGCTGAGCGAGTTGTTGATCAATGTTACAGCTGTATCATAACAGCTTGTACATAAACCCTAGCCTCATCTAGAAACAATCCAGTGATTGACGACATCCCGAGGAAAGACCCCTGCAATGTCTTAATCTTAGCGTGGTTGATAGCGCCACTCTCGATCAGAGTATCTTTTTGCTGTATCCAGGGCATTGAACTACGAGGTGAAGCAAAATTTATCCCTTTGTACCTTAGATTTAGCGTGGTACGCTATATTATCGCCATAGTTAATTTATAATGGATCGTAAATGGCACACACTTCCTAACCAATTAAATATCCCATACGCAAAATGACCCTTGTTCTTTGTTCAACTTTTATGGCACATCAATTAAGATTTTCATCGAGAACAATCTTATTCGTCGAATATGTCATTCATTTATCGATTGTGTTGTGCTGCACTTTCAAACAAGTTATTTTGGATTACAAAAAGATTCAGTTTTAATATTTGTTTATATCTCGCCAGAATACTCCCCTATAATGAGGCTAACATTGATCCCATAAGTCGTCTTGAGGGTTGTATAGAGACAATCATAAATATTTATAACAATCAATACGTACTACTTGCTGGAGATTTCAATGCAAGGATGCGTACATTTCTGGATTATTTCCCATCTGATGATCTCAACTTCATTCATGAGAACAGTGATGACTATCCAACTGATGGGTTGGATATTCCCTGTAAAACAAAGGATAACACTCGATACAACAGTTATGGTGTAAAACTAGCAGAATTATGTTGCACACATGATGTTCATGTACGAAACGGGCGGCTATTTGATGATATGGATGGGAACTTTACTTGTATCACTCACAATGGTGCCAGTGTGGTCGACTATTTTCTGGCAAGTACAGATTTATTTCCACATTTTAGCTCCTTTGGTGTTCATGAGAGAGATGAATCTAATCACTTCCCTCTTTACCGTACTATTGACTTTCCACTTAATTACTCTGAGGAATCCAACAGCAACCCCAATGTTTTTAATACTTGTCATATTGGTAATGAAACCCATCAAGATTCAGCTCAGCAAGACGTGTGAGTGAGTGAGTTAATGCTTTACGTCACATCGGCAATATTTCAGCCATATCGTGACGAGAAATTATACATTTTTAATATATATATTTAAACTGAATAAAACCTGTCATCGATGGACAGTAAAATTACTAGAATATCACAGATTACTGTTTAAAACTAGTATATAACCATAAAAAGATATGAAACAGTACAATATAAAAAAAGGCTACAGATCGCCAGCAGCTGAAGGTAGATCACCATGCTAGGGCCAATGGGGACTTACAGTACTTTTGCTACCCGCATGGACCCCAGACGGATTTACATCATCCCTTCCGCTGTTGGCGATTAATGACAAATTTATCCAAATTAAACTAACATATATACTACGATTAAAAAAGTGGCAGAAATAAACATACTTTGAAAGACGTGGTCTTACATACCCTCTCAGGGGGACAATTATTTTACACTACTTTAACCCCCTTCGAGGATATAGCCACTAACAATATCAGTTATTGATTCATACTACCAATTTTAAAAGTTATTTATTTATTTACAAAATATTGCAATCAAAATTTATGAATTGATTCAATTTCCTTTAAAAAATCAAGAATAAAATGAGTACTTACCTGTGTAAAAAGGTCCTTCATAGCTGAAACTTTGAAATACTTGTCCCTTGTGATGGAAAAATCAACACAGTCAAGCAGGACATGCTTGACCGTGATTCTTTCACCACAAGGGATGCAGAATGGAGGATCCTCGCCTTTTAAAATATATTCATGAGTGTAACGCAAATGGCCAATACGACATCGTCTTATAAGGACCTCTTCAAATCTGGACTGACAACCCAAGTAGGTATAACCGATATTTGCTTTTATTGCATGTAATTTATTTATACCCACTTGGGTGTCCCACTTCTTCTGCATAAGATCTCTGATGAAACATCTAATAACAGGTTTATAATCTTTATAGGGTATAAGAAGTGTCACAGATTTGTTGAGTGCTGCCTTAGCAGCAGCATCAGCCATTATGTTACCAACAATCCCAACATGGCTTTGTAATCAACAAAAGACGATGTCATATTGGCCAGTAGCAAGATCATTAAATAACTCAAGAATTTCAATTAAAAATGGATGTTTACAAGTCATACTTTTAATAGCCTGAAGGCACGAAAGTGAATCTGAAAAAATAATGAATTGTTTATATTTTGATTTGTTCTTGACATATTTTAGAGCTGTTAAAATTGCGTGTGCTTCTGCTGTGAAGATTGAACTGTTATCGGATAATCGTGAAGATAATGTTCTGATCCATCTGTAAATATAGATTTATAAGGGTCATATGTGTTTCGTAATTGATTGTATTCTTGTTTATAAATTAGAGGGTTTGTATCAGATTTCTTAAGTCTGGTTAATGTGAGGTCTACATTTGGCCTTAACATTTTTCAAGGGGGCGATGAAAAAAGTTGTGTGGGAGCTATATCCTGAAAGTTAATGTTCGCAGCAGAAACGACTCATTTAATTCTAATTCCTAGTGGTGGAACAAGAGATGTTTTCTTATTGAAAATATCTTCGTAAAGAGGATTAAATACGCAATTAAAAGCTGGATTTGACTGATTGGAATATAATTTAGTGATGTACCGTAAAGAAAGTTTCAGACGGCGTTGTTTAAGAGAAGGTTCATCCGCTTCAACAGACAGACTTGTAATAGGAGAAGTGCGAAAGGCTCCAAGGCAAAGCCTCAGTCCTTGGTGATGGATAGTATCAAGTTTTTTAAACTTACTTTTACAGGCTCCACCATGGATGATGGAGCCGTAATCAAGTTTTGAACGTATCAGTGACCTGTATAAGTGTAAGAGGGTTGTCTGATCCCCTCCCCACTTTGAATTAGATACAACTTTCAACAAATCGAGTGCTTTCATGCATTTAGCTTTAAGTGATTTAATGTATGGTAAGAAAGTAAAATGGCTATCAAAGATGAGTCCCAAGAATTTAGCCTCTTTTACAACTTTGATAGGGGTGCCATTCAAAAATATTTCAGGGTCTTTATGCGGCTTATATTTTCTGCAGAAGTGTATACAGTTGGTTTTAGATTTAGAAAATTTGAACCCGTTTTCGAGAGACCACTTATGAATTTTATTGAGACAGATTTGTAACTGCCTCTCTATGGTATGCATATTTTTACCACGACAAGATATATTAAAATCATCCACGAACAGTGATCCATCCACTGAATCACTTAAAACCTTGGACAGACTATTTATTTTAATACTAAACAAGGTAACAGACAAAATACTGCCTTGTGGGACACCCTGATCCTGATTATAATTTCACTCGGACTTGAAATTGTCTGTCTGTTAAAAATTGTGATTTAAAATGAGGTAAACGACCTCTCAAACCAAAATCATGATGTAAAACCTTTAAAATGCCATACTTCCACGTAGTATCGTATGCTTTCTCAAGATCAAAGAAAATTGATACTCCGTGTTGTTTATTTACAATAGCATTTTTAACAAAGAATTCTAATCGTACTAAATGGTCGATAGTTCTTCGATTTTTTCGGAAACCACATTGGATATTTGTAATTAGATTATTGGTTTCCAGATACCAAATTAATCTATTATTCATAATTCGTTCCATGGTTTTACATACGCAACTTGTTAAGGATATAGGTCGATAGTTGGAGGGATCTGTAAGATCTCGGCCAGGCTTTGGTATTGGGACTATAATGGCATTATGCCATGAAGGAGGAAAATTCCCTGATGTCCATATTTGATCAAATATATCTAAAAGTGTCTCCAGACATGATTCAGGTAAATGTTTTAAAAGCTGGTAGTGTATGTTATCAGCTCCCGTTGCTGTGTCATGAGCTTGCCCAAGGGCGGTATGTAGCTCATGTAATGAGAAGAGTGAGTGAGTGAGTGAGTTGGGTTTAACGCCGCTTTTAACAGTATTCCAGTTATATCACGGCGTGTCAGCTTAATGTGGGAGGAAAGCCCAAGGTGATGCAGGTCTCAGACGTTTACCACTTCGGTGAAACCCACGAGCACGGGTATGGTGCTGACAAACCTAGAAACATAATCGGGGCGAACCGGGATTCGAACCCACAATCATAGGTTTCTGGCGTGCCCAAGGGACGCGACTCTGCACAGCGAATCGCGGCGCCTTAGACGACTGGGCCACCCGTGCCCTCTGTAATGAGAAGACTTCATTATAGTCTTCATCATTATCAGAAGTGAAATTTACTTTTATCTTTTCCTGTTGTTTCTTAAATTTTTGAAACTCCGGGACATAATTTGATGTTGAAGAATGTTTTGCTAACGTTTCTCCAAGCTTATTTGCAATATCAGTTTTATCCGTTAATAACGTGTCAGCTTCCTTAAGATGGTGAACAGATGATTTTGAACCTTTGCCTTTTATTTTTGTACCATATTCCACACCTTGGATATGGGCGTGCGGGAATATATTTTGGAGTCATAGTTCCTCAAAGACAGACGCTTATTTTGTTTAAAAGCACGTGGTGCCTTGGCATTTGTAATTTTGACCTTATCTAGATCATGGACTGTAGGATGGCGGCGGAAATTCTTTTCCGCTTTCTTCCTATATTTTCTTGCCTGTTTGCATTCGTTGTTAAACCATGGTTTACGAATATGTGGAATTACAGAGGACTTCATCAGCAATTTCATTCAACATGTCCGAAAACAACTGTATCGGATCTTGAACATATTGAAAAATATCAGGTGTTAATTTTTCAGTGGATAATAATTCATATAATGGCCAATCAGCCTTTGTAAAATTCCACCGTGTTGTTGGTGGA